TTATTAGAACTACTATTCAATTACATTGTCAGAGCTATGACTACAAGTAACTTATGCCTATCTCATGCACTGGTCTTGACACGTCACTTAAAATTGGTTAACAACTATAAACACATGGCAGAGTGATAAATATTATACTGAGAGTATAAAGGTATAAAAATCACCATGGATAATTATTTGGCTAAACAGAGATTAGTTTGAGACAAATAAACTATTAAAATAACAGAGTACGTAATACAAAATAACAGACATATAGTGCAGAAATCATATAAGCAAAATAATCATAATCATGGTACAGAAGAGAACAAAGGGTCAATGGATATTAAAGCCCCCCAAAACAAGGGACCTTCAGAGGGTCAGATATTTAAGTCCCTAAGCATGGGACCTTGAGAGGGTCACAGACGTGACAACAGAATAGAATAGAAGGTTAGTGGATCGATGACAAACAGAGAGTCACCTAAAGTAATAGAACATAAAAGGGTCGCAAAAAGTGACAATTCAGAGAACCAATGGATATTAAATCCCCCCAAAACATGAGACCCTGTAATGATGCTTACAAAATAATTATTTAAAACACATATTTAATAAACAATTTTATCCATTAGTTTTCTTTTTTAAGCAAATATAGTTCATTTAACAAATAACATAGTTTAAAAACTAATATAATTTAAAAAATATATTTTACAAAAATACTTTATGATAGTTCAAAATATAATAAAACTCGCCTAAAATTTTATCCTTTAATATCACTTTTGATTCTGACTCACTCTTTTATACACCCCTCATTTATTATTATTACTCTCTCCGTCTCAAAATATAAGTCCCTTATTTCGTTTTTCATTGTCATAAAATCTTTTCAAAAATTAAATACAAAAATAATATAAATTTTTTATTTTACCATTCTTTAAATTCATTAACAACATAAAAAGTACAATTATGACATTTATATTTCTCAAAAAATATACTATTAAAGGGTAATTTTGAAAAATTAATTTTTTTGATGTGTAATAATTGTACTATCAAAAAAAGTTGAATTCTCCAAAAAGGACTATTATTTTGAAACGGATGGAGTATAATTTTATTAGGGCAAATTACATATGCCCCCTTGAGGTTTGGCTAAATTACAAATACCCCTGAGGTTTGAGAAATTACAAATTCTTCGCTGAATGCTATATTTGCATAACAAATTAGGTAATTTGTTATGAAATATAAACCTCAGGGGGCAAATTGTTATGAAAATACAAATCTCAGGGAGCGGGATGTAATTTCTGAAATCTCAGGAGTACCTGTAATTTAGTCAAACCTTGAGGGAGGTATATGTAATTTGCCCATTTTATTACTATACAAATTTACCTATTTATAAGTGAAAAGAACCATATTATGCAACTTAAGGCCGTAAATGAGCTTAGCCGAGCCGAGCCGAGCTTTACTATATTTATGGTTGTTTATTAAGATTTTAACGAGCTCGAGCTAAATAAAAATTTAACGAACCGAGCTCGAGCCGAGTTGGCTTAGGATTGACTCAAGCTCGAGCCTGTTCACGAGCTTTAACGAGCCAAAAAATTTATAAATCCATACTTGCATGTGAGACTAAAGTTACAATTAAAACTTTGATTATACAATTATATATACAATATATATTAACATACTAAAAAAAAGTCTATATCTTATTAAAATAATAATATTTGCTACCACTATTATATAAATATATTATCTATAGTTAGCTATTATTTATATTTATATTTTTTAAATATATATATATTTCTCTTATTTTTTATACATATTTTTATATATAAATAATAAATATTAAACGAACCAATTAACGAGTTGAATTTATGAGCCGAATTTTAAAATATTTGAACTTATTAAAAATTTAATGAATTTGAACTCAAACTCAGACTCAAACATAAAAAAAAAATTTAACAAATCGAGTTTAAACAAATTCTTACCGAATCAAGCTCGAATTTATTCAGAAACCACTTTGCTCATTTGCAGCTACTAAACCACATGGACCCATGTGATCCACGAGGTCTCTTGATCAGTATGCACCGATTCCGAGATATTCTCACTATGCCCAAAAAATAAAATATTATAATTACAGACATATTGGGTGCCCCACGAGGCCTCTTGAATCAATACGCACCAATTCCGACATATTCCCGCTATGCCCATAAAAAAAAATAACTGCATATATATTTTTTAAAGGTTAATAAATATATTTTAAAATATCACTGGTAGATAGAAGAGGGACCTTAAGTTACAAAAAAAATAATATTGTGGACCTCTTCCATTATCAAAAGTTGGAAAGGGATGTTAGACTAAATATTCCAAATATATATATATAAATATTCAAGTAATAATTTTATAAAATAATAATATTAATATTATCAAAATAATGTGTTAATTTTAAATTAAAATTAAAATTATTTTTTCACGACACACATTGTACCATCAAATATATAATTTTTTTTTAAAATTATCACGTACGGCTAATTACTTATAGAATTGATCGAGGCAATTAAAATGTGGAAGAAAAAAAAAACAAATGATGATTAGTATGAGTAGCGATGTAATCGGTTCGGTATGATCGGTATTTAGATAAAAATTTACACCGAATTGATAATGTCGATTTTATTATTTTGAACATCAATACATACCGTTTCTCTCATCAAATCGCACCGAATCGAACCGATTGAAACGGTTCTGTTTAGTGCGGTTTAATCGGTTTAGGATTTTTTAAACTTGAGTTACTTTTAAATATAATTATTAATCTATATAAAAATATTAAATTAGTTATTTATCTATCATTTCAAATATATCCAATCTTTCAATTTAATACATATTTTTCAATTCTTAAATTAACAAAAATAAAAACAAAAAAAAAGTTCTAAAATACTAAGATTTCAAGAATAATGAGTTAGAGTTAAGATTATATATAATAAGAGTTTAGAAACTTAGATTATAAAGATGATAAGGTTAATAATTTATTATACTTATTAATATCATTATATTGTTAGCTTATATATATTATAAATATAATATATGTTGAAGCGGTCGGTTTCAGCTTAGATCGGTGCACATGGTGCTTAAACCGATACCGAACCGAAAATCGAAAAAAATTAAATTTAAAAACTGCACAGACCGATTCTTGTTAAAAAACAGACCAAATATAATCGATTTGGTCCGATTCAATCAATTTGATCGATTTTTTTGGTTATTTTTACACCCCTAAGTTTGAGTATCAAATACTACGAGTGTTCATGGATTTTATTTTTTATTTTTTATTTTTTTGAGCTTGTTCATGGATTTGATTGGTATTTAAAAAAAAAATCAAAAATTGAGTTGATCCCTACAATGTTAAGAAATTAGAATTATAACGAAACCATTAAACCTTTTTGTAACCAGATTAGACTAGGATTGTTCTGGAAAGTAGAAAAAAAATTAATTTACTGATTTTTTTTAAACCGTACAAAAAAATAAAAAGATAATATAATCAAAATATGTCAATAAATTAATAAACTAATTTTTTATTTTTTCATATTCTGAAAACAGATCATAAAATCAGATTAGTTCTCTTTAGTTGTAAAAATTTTATATAACAAAAAAAATAACAATTAGTTTAGTAAAATTGATTATAATTTAAATTAAGATTAACGTTAAATTCTTAGTAACTTGCATAATTCAATTTTTACATACAAAATTATTAAAAAATAATAATATTATCAATCAAATAAAGTTTTCAAATTATTTATACAGTAAAGTTTAATAAAACAAGAATAACAAAGAACATTAATATTTAAAACAAAAAATTAGATTTAATTTTTATGTCAGAAATGTGACAATCAATTAGGATATTAAAGATAAAGATAACATATTTTTTTTATATCTTTTCTAATTATCAATCAATCATATTATTTATATGCCATTAATTTTGTAAATTAGAGTTTGAAAAATAAAGGGCAATGTTTGGGGCTCAAATGCTTCCAATTACTCGACTTCTTATTTTTTGGCCGTTTTTCCTTTTTTTTTTTTTTTTTTTTTTAATTGGTGGTTATGTGTAAGAGTGTGTAAAAAAATAGACATCCCACGCTCACTTAATCTGTATGGTTCAATAAGGTGAGTGAGTTGGGTTAAATTGATTAGATAATAAAATTAGCTGATCAATTAAAAATAAAAATATAACAAAAACTCATACAAAATTATATGAAATTAATAAATTTTAATCAGTAACATAACTGATCAGTCAATTTTATCACCTAATCAGCTTAACCCAGACTGAATTGGTGCGAAATGTCCACCCTTCCCAAAAAAAAAAAAGAAAAAAAAAAAAACCAAACCATACAAACCAACCAAAAAAAAAAAAAAAAAAAAAAATACAACAAAGCAAGCAATTCTACCCTCAAGCCCGAGGACTTCCACTAGTACCACCTATATGGTAGGGGGTGAGCAACAGACTAGCTCACCATAATAATCTCATATTATTACTTTAAAGATATGCAAGTGCGGGGAGGAGGAGGAGGGACTGGAGGGGGCCCAACAAATGGGGCTGGAGGTGGAGGCCGGGGGCGGAGGCGGCAGAGGCAGGGGCTGCGAGGGGCGGGGCTGCGACGGCGGAGCTGCTGCTGCGACGATCGGAGCTGCTCGACGATCGACAGGTCGGCAGCGACAAGAAGGGGCTCTCTCCATTCCCTCTTCTCTTTCTCTCTTTCTCTCTTCTCTTTTTCTCCTCCCGTTCTTGAGCTAATCGAAAATGAAAGAAAAAAAAAGAAAAAAAAAAGTCTAATGCCTAAAATAACGTCGTTTTGAACATTAAAACGATTAGGAGGGAAAAGAAATTCTCGAACTACCAAACATTATCCATTTAAAATAAAAAAAAAAAAAAAAGAGAAATTGTCGAGGCATTCAAGCCTCAACCGTTCGAACCCTAGCACTGCCAAAAAAAAAAAAATTTGTATATTATTTTTCGCGAAATGCGAGATAGCTTATTTTATCAAAATTATCTTCTTATTTTCCGAGAAAAAATCATTACTTTGGGGTATGGGTACAGAGATGATTCCTTACCAATGTGGAAATCGTGTCATTTTGTTCTTAAAAACCAGTCACTTACTATCCCACCCTCTGTATAACCACCCCCCCCAAACACAGACAGCGCTGCTTCTTCTATAATTCTTTTAGTCATTTCATATACTTTTTCATCATATTTCAATGGCTAAGGAAGATCAAAAGCTCAGTGTGGTGTTCCTCCCGTACTTAGCTCCAAGCCATATCATCCCCATGGTTGATATCGCCAGGCTATTCGCCGGCCGCGGGGTCGCCGCCACCATCATCACCACCACAAACAACGCCCTTCTCTTCCGAGACTCCGTCAATCACGACGCCGCCTCTGGCCTCAATATCTCAGTTCACACTATCAAACTACCCTCGGCCCAAGTGGGCTTACCTGAAGGTATCGAAAACTTCGGCCAATGCACTTCCCCACAACTCATGGCCAAACTCGGTTACGCCATCGTTTTGCTCCAAAATCAGATCGAAGAATTCATTAGGGACAATCCGCCTGACTGCATAGTCTCCGACATGTTCTTCCCATGGACTGTCGACCTCGCTGACGAGCTTCAAGTGCCTAGGATCATGTTGTATCCCTCCAATTCTTTCTTTCACTGCGTTTCGCATAGCTTGAGGCTTTACGCTCCTCACGAAAAGGTACAGTCCGATTCCGAGGATTTCTTGATTCCGGGTCTTCTCGATGAGATTCGCATGGCGAGGTCTGAATTACAGGACCATTTCAAGGCCAAATCCAGGTACGGAGATTTGATCAACTCAATCAGAGAAACAGAGGGTCGTAGCTACGGCATAATTCTTACCAGTTTCTACGATCTCGAACCCGCTTATTCTGATCACTTCAAAAAGGTCGTGGCGAGCAAGTGTTGGAATTTAGGCCCTCTCTCTCTGTTCACCAACAGAGGCAATGTTGGCCAAGAAAACAACTCCGGTGAAGAGAAACACAGTTGTTTGAGTTGGCTCGACACTCAAAAGCCCAATTCAGTCCTCTACGTTTGTTTCGGTAGCATGGTCCAATTCTCCGATGCTCAACTCACCCAGATCGCGTTAGCACTCGAAGCATCCGGGCACCCTTTTGTTTGGGTGGTGAGAAAGGAAGGGAAAAGCGAGGGAAAGCAAGAAGAGAGTTGGCTGCCAGAAGGATATGAAGAAAGAATTGGGAGAGATAGCATGGGCTTGATAATAAAAGGGTGGGCTCCACAGCTGGAGATCTTGGACCACCAGGCTGTCGGAGGGTTTCTGAACCATTGCGGTTGGAATTCTCTCCTCGAAAGCCTCACCGCCGGTTTACCGTTGATCTCGTGGCCGTTGTTCGCCGAACACTTCTACAATTCGAAGCTATCCACTCAGGTTCTCAAGATCGGAGTCGAAATTGGGCCCAGGGTGTGGAATCCTGGGTTTGAAATCAACAGCCCTTTGGTGGGAATGGATGAGTTAACCAAGGCTATAACTTTTCTCATGGGTGGTTCACCGGAGGCGGTGAAGATGAGGCAACGAGCGGAGGAGATAGGTATTAAGGCTAAGAGGGCCGTCGAAGAAGGTGGTCGTTCTTACTGCGATCTCAAGGCTTTGATTGAAGAGCTCAAAGCTTATGCTCTTCAAAAATAAGAAGTGGACTTTTAAAATTAACAGCTTGTATTTGATATCTGCAAACTCGCTGAGGGGATAATCATCTGCCCTTTCTATTTTGTGTTTGTAAGACTCTACTTTTGTGTTTAACTTTCATTTGAATAAAAAAAAATAGCTTGTATTGTTATCACTTTTATTAGAATAATGCTATAAAGTTAGGTTAGTTATCTTAAATAAATTATTGATTTTTTTATCAAAGTTTTTATAGGAGCGCGGGATTCACACCCATGTAATTTTGTGCGGGTTTCATATTTACGTGAGAGGATTGATAAAAAATTTGATAATTTATTTGGGATACATATCATTTTTTAATGGAAAAATGTTAGAAATCTTAATATCTATCAAATATTTTTATCAAATGTCTCACATGGTGTGAGACTCATACAAACTTACATGTGTGTGGGTCCCACACCTATATGAGAGGTTTAATAAAACATTTGATAGATTATTTGGGGCGTCTAGCATCACTCTTTACAATAATTGAACTTGTTAGAATGTCTCCATTTCATTTATGTGATGGAGAGAATCTGATTGTAGGCCGAGGAGCGGAGGGAAAGAGGGTCCTAGGGGTCAGTGTCCCTTTGATTTTAGATTTTCTTTCTTTTTTCTTTTATTTTTTTTGTAAAGATAAAGAAAATATTTTAAATAAAAAAATTTATAAAACTATTGTTTGGAGTGAAATGTGAATGATGTTTTTAAAATTATAAGAATAATAATAATTATTTTGATTGAAAATAAAGAGATTGTGATATTGTTGTCTATGAAAATTTCAATATAATGGTGGTGTGTATCATTATTAAGATGTAAACATAATTAATCTCAATGAAAATATAGAATTTATTGAATTGTTAGTTACATTTGACATGTGGAGTTCATCCTCCATGTGTTTCTTTACTATTAGTTGATAATATCACATGTCAATGATGACGTGTTGTGACTATTATATTGAATTTTTTCGCACATTGTGTATAAAAAATTACTTTATCATTATATAATTTATTTTAAAACTTTATATCCATGATTTTTTTAGGCTTCGTCTGGGAAGAATGTGTTGGGTAGGTTTGGGGCTATTTTAGCCACAAAAAAGGGGTTTTTAACTCAATAAGACAAAGTATTACATCCAATCCATAATCATTACATTCTTTCTCTCATAAAAAATTAAAAAAGTCAAAAAGTCATTCCCAAACGAGATTTTTTAGCCCAAGGCTAAAATAGCTAAAAAGTTAAAAAGCCAAAAAATCAATCCACTTCCTAAACAAACCCTTAATATTGTCTATGATACACTAATTATCAATAACATTATTTTTTTGTCTTTCTTGAAGTCAATCGTAAGATTTTATGTGAAATATTTTTGTAAATTTTTTTAATATTATAATTAATAAGCCTCTCTTTGATTTAATTTCTTAATTCCGCTATTGAATTGTGGTATTGTTATTGTCAATAATGTATGTATGGATAATTTATTATATTTTGTGCATTGAGTTAATAAAAAATGGGTTCAACTAATATGCTCTAATTTTCATTCATCATTTTCTCTCTCTACATGAGCTCTCCATCTGCAAGTGATTTCAATCCAAACGGCTATGATCAAAACAGGAAATCTCCAGAGGAGGAGGACCATTTCATCCGAGGCACCAAAAAGATAAAGAATAGGGATCATATGGGGGAGAAAGACACGGATGTCAGTATTGTTGTTGGCTCTCCATCTGGGGAAGCACCATTGGTAACCCCAAAAGCTAAATCATTTCGAGATGCTTTGGCAGCACCGAAAAATCAAGATTTCTATTTTGATGAGGCAGCTGACACTCTACTTTCCAATGATGACGTTGATGAGGATGGAGATTCCATCATTCAGGAGGGCGTTACTCCTAATGACCCTAACGGCATACCCAGAATTGCACTACTAAAGAAGCTCCTACAGCAGATCAGACAACCCTAGGCCAACACATTTATTGTACGTCTCTTGGGCAAAAGCATAAGCTATCGATTACTCTATGCTAGAGTTAAGAACTTGTGGGCCCTTCAAGAGGAATTCACTACTATAGATTTGGGGAGCAATTATTTCCTATTCAAATTCTCATTTTGAGAAGCTTGTGACCATGTTTATACGGGAGGTCCATGGGTTGTCATGGATCACTACCTTACAGTACGTAAATGGGAACCTGATTTTAAGGCGTCGGACGCTTTTGAAACCTCAACTGCTGTTTGGGTTAGGTTTCTGGAGCTTCCGATCGAGTATTTTCAAGAGAAATCTTGTACACCATAGCTAAACAGTTGGGGAAACCACTCAAGATCGACCTCACCACGGCTATGGCCACCAGAGGCAGATTCGCAAGAGTTTGCATTGAACTGGATCTTAACAAACCGCTTTGCCCCAAGTTTATTCTTGGTAACAAAAGTTACAATATTGAATATGAATCCATTCATTCTTTCTGTTTCTATTGTGGCAGGGTGGATCACCGTAAGGAGATTTGTAGACACAAGGCAGCTAATCCCTCATTGCAAAGATCTCAAAAAGCAAACATGGCGTCGGACGACGACAGACTAGCTGTGTCAGAAAACTCCCAAACGACACCAACTCAACCAAACGGTAACCTGCAAACCCTTGAACAGGGTGATGACAACTTTGGGCCATGGATATTGTTCACTAAAAAGACCAGAAGACCATTTCCTAATAGGAAAGCCCAATCTCATGGGCCCAATCCTAATTTGAACAAATTTGCTGAGTTGGGCATTGCCAATAGTTTAGGCCGAGATAAATGAGCCCCTTTCTTCTCTGAACATCCCATGTCTATTAGGCCAGCAGCTACTATCATCACCACCCAGCCCATAGCAGATGAAGCCCAAAAACCAAACCATTTGGATCTTGGTTCAGCCAACCTACCTAATAACTCAGCTTCTCTGGCTCAATTTCCACCGCACGCTCATCTCTCTGTAAATTCAGACATTGCAAAAGCCTTACCTACCTCTCAAGTCGAGTACACAGCCATACTGTTCTCTGGCCACCATAGTCTGCAGGTTTCATCCAATAAATCTCTAGGAATCCCAATGGCAGAAGCTCTAGCAGATTTTATTCACTCTTCCCCTCCTAACCCAATACCGCTAAATCAGTCCTTATCTCTTCGAGAAAGTAAATCCCGAGCTAGAAAGCCTCCAAACCCAAATTCCAGTCATGAAAAATACGAAGATAGCCCTTCCAGCGGCCTACATTCACAAGATAGAGGGCCATGCGATCGGGTTGTTATTCGAGTCAGGGATAGAAACCATTCACCGCGTAGACACAATTTGGTGGATCGAGCAAAGAAGACTGAGAATCGAACCAGGATGGAGCACCATACCAGGTCCTCCAGTTCACTCGATACAGATGGCATCCATAAGATCCATCGATCAAGATCATCGGCGGATTCGTAGCCTTTTGCCCAGACTAGCCACTGATCATTTTCCCAACTTTCCGTCTGTGGATTCTCTAAAACTACTAATTTGGAACTGCCGGGGGGCAGGTAACAGTTCCTTTAGGAGAAACATGAGAGAACTCCTCCACTCCCACAAACCCGAGATTATTATTCCCATGGAAACCAAAGTCAAGTTCAGTACTATGGGGAATTTTTTCACTAATATGGGATTCTCAGCTTCTACCATTATCGACCCTGTTGGACGCGTAGGAGGCATCTGGTTAATCTGGAATACCGATCATGTGAATGTTCATGCTTCAACGGTTTCAAACCAATACATCCAAGCCATGGTTCATAAAGAGGACTACGAGGAATGGGTGCTTAATGCAGTTTATGCTAGCCCTAACCCATACATCAGAAGGACACTCTAGGATGATCTTGAAAACACAGCAAGGAGTATGCACAAACCCTGGCTCTTAGTTGGAGATTTTAATGACTATGCCACCCACAGTGAGAGACGTAGCTTCTCACCGTCCCAGAATCATAACAGAACCCAGATTTTCACTGAATGGATCAATAACTACAACCTCCTTGACCTCAGCAGTGTAGGCCCCCGATACACCTGGACAAATAACCGTCAAGGCCTCATTAACACCACGAAAAGGATTGACAGAGCAATGTGTAATGAACAATGGAGAGCCCTGTTCCTGAAGGTACTGTGAGGACCCTCCCCCGAACTTATTCGGATCATTCCCTTTTGGTGGTCTATACTCAAGGTATGCATTCCTCCAATCATCTTAATAGGCCTTTTAGATTTGAAGCTGCTTGGCTTTGTCATTCTCATTTCCCTGAAGTTGTTCATAATCTTGGGCTAATATGGAGTTTAATTTGCTTGAGGCCATTGATAATTTTACTCATAATGTTAAAACTTGGAATAAAGAGGTTTTGGGGAACATTTTTAAACGTAAAAGAACTCTTCTAGCCCGTATTGAAGGAATTCAAAAGGCTCAAACCTAGGCTTTCTCTCATAGTCTTCACTTTCTTGAAAAAGACCTTGTTAACCAATTTAATGTGACTCTTTTTCAAGAAGAGGTTTTGTGGTACCAAAAGTCTAGAAATAATTGGCTTACTTTGGGTGATAATAAGACTAAATTTTTTCACATTTCTACTCTATCTAAGCGTAGGAAATTAAAGATCTATGTATTGAAAGATGATTGTGGTACTTAAATTTCTAATACCAATGACCTTAAAGTTCACATTAGGGACCATTTTAGTAATCTGTTCCAGCATGAGGTCACTCACATCTTAGACAACTGGACTAACATTGCTACTACTAGAATCACTACTGAGGAAAATGATAGACTTCAGGCTCCTATCAGTAATTTTGAAATTTGGACTGTCATCAAGAACATTAAAGCTTTTAAAGCTCCTGGGAAGGATGGGCTCCAAGCTGTCTTCTATCACAACCACTAGCACACTGTTGGCCCCTCTGTGTGTCACTTCATTAAGAACTGTTTCCATAAGAAACTTGTGCCACCTGAGATAAATGCAACTCAAATTGTTCTCATACCCAAAATGGATAATCCTGAGTCCGTTAAACATTTTAGACCCATTAGTCTTTGTAATGTTACCTATAAGGCCATCACCAAAATCATTGTCAATAGACTTCGACCTCTTCTCTCTGACTTTATCAGTCCTAACCAAAGTAGTTTCATACTTGGCAGAACCACCATGGATAATATTGTCATTACCCAAGAGATCCTTCATACACTTAGGGGTAAAAAAG